AGAGTGGCTATGCAGCCACCTTTGGATGCATCACGTGAAGCCGGAAGTGGATCGGCTGAGGCAGGAAGGTCCCAGCAGTTTGAGACCAATGTTGAGAGTGATGAGCGGAAAGTGGTGTTGAAGGACGAAGGTCGAGAGGAAGTGATGCCGATTCCGATGGGGATCCCTGCACCAATGGCGGGGCGCCCACCGTCATCTTCTGAACATGAACCACGACCAGAGAGAGAGCAGCGCTCAGGTGGAGAGGTGTCGACTCGTGGTGTTGCTTCCGGGAGTACAGGTGATGAGCCAGAGTTGAAGCGTGTGCGGGTAGTTGAGCCAGCATCGCCATCAGCATCATCACGACCTTCACTGCTACAGCGCAGGCCCGCCAAGTCATCCGAGCACATGCAAGTGGACGAGCAAGGATCAGGCCCAAGGGTACCAGAGCAAAAGGGGGTGAAGAGGCATCCTGATGTTGAGCTTGTTGATCTTGAAGATGAGATTCGAGCCTCAGGACCCCAGGAGCCGAGACGACTCGAGGGCTTGTGCTGGTCCAGCAACGCATGTGAAAGTGTTCTGCTGAGCGACGTTGTGACAAGTCCGAGCATGTTTGATGTGGAGGTGAACAGCATTCGATTCCGAGATGGAAGTCAGGACGCGAAGAGTGAGAGTTTCATGTTGGGAGGACGTCGCGTGTTGATTTGGAAGCCTGATGCCGGAGTAGACGACAGTACGTTGGAGGAACTGCCGGGAGATCTTGTATTCTCCGGGATGCAAGAGGAACTCACCAACTTAGAGCGTTGCCAGACAGGCAGGGCAATACTTGAGCATGAAGTGAAGATCCTGAAGGCTAAGAACCCATCGCTGAGACTTATACCCGCTCGATGGGTTTGTGCCAGAAAGAATCCCACTCGCGTCAGGTGTCGCATTGTGGCAAAGGACCTTGCACATGGCTCGGCAAGAAAGCAGGGGTTTAGCTCACCAACCCCAAGCCATGATGCCATGATGCTCACCTTGATCTTCATGGCCACGCGTGACATGCAAGGTTGTGCGGCAGACATTGGGCATGCTTTCATGAACTCACCGTTGGACACCAAGTCGAATCCCGTTGTGTTGAAGCTACCGCTGAGCATCAGTTCGGAAGATGGCCAGGCTATCTTCTTCTTCCTGTATTGCGCATTGAATGGACTGCGGGATGCTTCGTTGGCATGGCTTAAGCTTCTTTCGTCGTTGATCCGTCCACTAGGTCTGTTGAGTGATGCACGTGAGCCATGTCTCTTTGCGGGTGTTGTGTGGCACAAGGATAGATCAAGCAGAGTGATGATCGTATGCTACGTGGACGATTTGCTAATCATCACTGATGATCAGTGGGCTGAAGACTTGGTCTTGAGTGCCATCGGGAAGCGAGTAACCGTAAAGGTGACAGGTAGGGTGAAGACATCCAGTCAAGGTGGCGGCATGGTTGAGTTCATTGGTCGGTGCATTCGTCGGTGGCCGGGGCAGAGTGCAGTCGAGGTAGGTGTGAAGCCTGAATACTTGCAATCATGCTTCGATGCGTTTGGCATCCAAAAGGGCACAACTGCCGTTCCAGACCTAGCAGGTCTACTGGAGAAAACAGGTGCACCGGTTTTGACGTCGGAGGCCTACAGCAGATTCCGCAGAGTGCTTGGAAAGGTTCTCTGGTATGCCCAGACAAGGCAAGATCTGAAACTGATGATTGGACTCATCAGTACGCAACAAGCTGCGCCGACACAGAGCACCGAGGCGGCGTTGAGGGCACTTCTACGTTATCTCTACACCGACAGACATGTTGCACTGCGCTTGCCGTCATCGGAGTTGAGTGGTGAGTTCTTGGAATGTTCCGAAGATGTGCTGCGGAATGGTGTGCATGTCTTTGCAGATGCGTCTCATGCTCCATACAGGTTCATCGGCAGAAGAGGGATCACAGGTGGAGCCATCTGTTTTGGAGGAGGTCTTGTGCGAGGGATCGCGAAAGTGCAAGGAGTGGTGTGCTTGTCATCTTGTGAGGCTGAGCTTCATGCGTTGCAGTATGCTGCACAGGAGACAATCGGATTTTTGCACTTGCTTGATCGTGTCTTCACTGCCTTTGGTGAACTTCAAGGTTCAATTGATGTGCAGATGAGTGCCCATGCAGAGGACGAAGGTGGTGAAGAACAGCATGACAAGATCTACACTGAACTGTTGACGGACAGTCAGGCAGCGTTGGATGTCATTCATGCAGAAGACGTCTCTAAGCGTTCGCGGCATGTGGAGATCCGATTGGCATGGATGAGAGAACATCTCTTGAGAGGTCGGCTCAAGTTGCGTTGGCTGAGAGGCGAGGAGAATGCGGCTGATCTCTACACTAAAAATCTCGGAACTCGACTCTTCCAAGAACACAGAACGCGATTAGGCTTCATCACACAAGATGGACATGTGGAGGCGTTGTACATGTTGTCACAGCTGCGAGTTTCTCCAGAGAGCATGAAGGAATCTGATGAAGTGGCAGTGCTGGAGGTGTTTTGCAGTGAGGATTCGGTCCTGTGTCAGGTGTGTGGATCACTTGGGGTGCCGTATTGCGGGATCACAGCCAATGCTGAGACCTCAAGAGTGTTGGCAGAAACCATCAAGGTCACCACTGCTTGGAAGAGCAGAGGGCTTTGGATCCACGTTCACGTGTCCACGCCTTGCTCTTCAGGATCGCCACTGCGGAACTTTGTGCAAAGATGTACAAAATCTGATCTTGAGTGGGAGGCGTTGATGCGATCTGCAGAGAGGTATCTGAGGCTTGGAGATGGACGTACGTTCGAATTGCCAAAGCAAAACATGATTTGGAAGAGATGGGGAACACAGAATGTCCTTCGAGCCTCAGGTCTTGTGTATCCCGTAGATGTGTGGCTGTGCGCCACCGGCGTGTTGAGTCGAAGCGGTCTTCCAGTGTCAAAACGTCTCAGGTTCATGTGTTCACATCTCGAGTGCGCCCAGAAGCTTTTCGACATGTTTGGAAGCTGCAGTTGCCAGACACATGCCTCGTTCCATGACATTGACTACACAGCAACAGGGAGGTATAGCAAGGTGCTGGCAGAAGGGTTGGTCAAAGCCCTGAAAGCAACAAACTGAAAGGGGGATCCGATTTGGTTTCATCTTACGCCACACATGATCAAGTCATGTGAGGAGTATAGTCAGAGTGCGTTTTGCACAGTGCGTTTGCACAGCACTTGCGATTCTTTGTAACGCAAGTTTTCTAGTTTTCCCTCGGGCGTCATGGTTGCACATCCTTTGATGAGAGTGGCGATTTCAGTGGCCATTCTTGCGTTGATGAGCTCTGGAGTGGAGACTGCGAGGCCAGTAGAGCTTTGGGGAACCACCTTCATGGGCAGCGAGCTTGTACAGATGTTTGCTAGTCCGACTTGGGATCCAGTATGGATCATCATCATCGGGTGCTTTGTCAACGGCATCTTGGTTGGTACGCTGATCATGACATGCTGTTGTGCGTGGGCATTGTTTTTCCGGATGGGCTATGAGCAGCAAAGAGCTGCTACACAGAACCCGCCTCTGGATGATGACACGATGAAGCCACAAGGTGCCCAAAACAACTCTATGCCTGAGAGAAGTCAACAGATGAACCCTCGTGAGCCAGATGGTAAAAAGGAGGCATCGTCGTTGAGAGCGAGGCCGAAGGCAGCTGGTGCAAGGGAGAAGCATGCAAGTTCCAGCTGCAAAGACAGAGTTGACAAGCGCATATTTGCTTCAGAGTCTCAGGGCATTTTTCATCACGATCAGACGTGTCATCGCATGGAGGGATCATGGCGAACTATGTGGCAGTGTGGGAACTGTAAGCCAGAGCCGGGCAACACAGAACTGTGTGTGTTCCCGTCCGGGGACAAATATCACAGTGTGTACTGCAAGCATGTGGCGGCCGTTACCTCCAACCCGACATGCATCACTCCGTGTTCGACATGTGTGACAGGGAACAGACCTCTGAGATTGGAGTGATCATCTGAAGATGTCGTCATCTGAGAGTGAGGTGAGACAAAAAGATCATCCCGAAAGGGGGTGTGAAAATCTGTGTATAGACACGTCTGCGGGATGCCTTTTTGGCCAAGGCGCATGTTTGACGTGCTTACTGTATGTCCGGGACGTACAGGTCTTTCCTGAACAGTCGAGCATGTTTTTCCTTGATTTGTTTTGTAGGAGAAGTGAGCTTGCGTAGGTGGCGTCAACTGGGTTTTTCCAGTTTTACTTTTGACTCTTGGCTCAAGGTCAAGAGAGCTGAGAAAGCACGAAGAAGGCAGGACAACTGCATTCGTCGCTTTGTGTGAGAAAGTGCTGTGCAAGTGCGAAGCTGTGTGTAAGTTGGGTTTGTGCTGTTTAGAAACTTTTACAATGTGCAATGTGCTTGTTAGTGTGAAAATATGACATTTCTTTGTTTGCCTAGTTGCTTGCAGGTACATGTGTAGAACATGAGTGCTGTGACATGGCAAGAACATGTTTTGTTTTGGCATGAGCATGTTTGCATGACATGAAGGTGCTTTGACTTGACATGTTTTGGTTTGCAAGTCCGAGGATGAGTTTTGGGAAGCACAGAGGCTTTAGCTCTCGGGAGTTGACCTGAGAGTCATCTGGAAGTGCTGAAGCAAAGCTCTGAGGAACAGACTTTGGCCGTTACTCACTCCGTGTGCCTTGCCCCGTCGTTCGTACCGTGTCGTGACTGTTTGACACTTGACTGAGGCATTCTGAGAGCATGCTGTATGTTTTGCAACAGACCTGAAGTCCTGAAGCAGTAACCAAGATGTTTTGCATGTTACTTTTGCATTCTCCTTTGTCTAAACAAAGTTGAGATGTCGTTTGAAGACTTGAAGCCTTTGCTCTTGGAGAGAGCACCTTTGCTGACTGAAGACAGTGCAGCTGAACACTGACGTGTTTGGCTCAAGTGCGAATGGAAAAAGCAGTCTGCGCTAAAACTCTGCTTTTCACATGGTGGCGGAGCGTCCTGAAGAGACGTTCCAGGAAAAGCCATGGCCCAAGTTCCGGACGCGTCTACAGTGCCAGTACCTGATGTGAGCCCTGAGGAAGAGGCTTTGCTGTTTTGGGTCTCAAGGACAACCGACAGCACCTGCTGGAGGAGCGAACCCTTTTGCGTCGCCTCCGGCAACTCCAGCTCAAGCTCATGCTTCGCCTACTGGAAGCCAAGTGGGTGGAGTACAAGCTGGAAATGGCCTTGGTGAAGGCAACTTCCAAGCCATCTTCTTGGAGATGCTAAGGCAGCAAAGTCAGGCCAACCAGCAGAACCAGCAGTTGATAGCTGCCCGTTTGGTTGCGGAGGCTGCAGCTAGAGCCAAGACGGAAGACCCGTTTGCAGCTGCACCGAGCACACCTTCTGTGCCTTGTGCAGGAGCTACCTCGTCTTCGAGCTCTGTTCGGAGCCCATTGGTGCAGAATAGGGCGGAGAAGTACCTTCCATCTCTGCCGATGCTAGAGCATCAAGGCATGAACAAGGGCAGGATGCGAGAAGTCGAGACATGGCATGCCTACCTGGAGACACTGTCATCGTGGCTTGCTCTTCAAGATGAGTCTTTCGTTCGAGAGTTGCAACTCTGCGTCAAGCAAAAGAATGAGATCCTTCAGAAGGATTTGGCGGATGATGTTGCTGCTCGAAGTGCGAAGCTTTACTACTATCTCACCCAATCTCTCTCACGTTGGGAAAGAGGTCAAGAGTTGCTACGCTCGTGCTCGAAAAGGCAGTCTCTCAGTGCCTGCGGATACGAGGCTGTGAGGACCATCACGCAGCAATACAGCATCGTGTCTCGCATGGAAGCTGTCTACGTGCGGGAGCAGTGCCTCAAGTTGGCGACTACGTGCCAGCATCACCGACGGCCGACAGACCTCATCCGTCACTTGGAGGACGAGTTTTCTCGTGCCGAATCCAAGCTTGGGAACTTTCCAGAGTTGCGTCTCACGGAGGCTGACCGCTGCAGTGTTTTGCTGCAAGCTCTGAGCCAGGAGCTCAGACAGTACGTCGTTCTTCATGGAAAGAGCAACGACTGGACATCGCTGAGCGATAGCCTTCGGTACTATGAGGAGCAGCTTCGTCTGTGTGAGGGTCCCTTTTCCTCAAATCGGCAGATGTCAGGAAAGGGTGACAAGCTTTGTGACCACTGTGGACGAAAGGGACACCTGGCTAAGGACTGCTGGAGCCGTCAGCGTGAAGCCGGTGAAAAGGGCAAGAAGGGCGACAAGGGCAAGAAGGGCGATGGCAAGGGAGCGCAGAATCCCAAAGGAAAGCCACGCTCTCCAACGCCGAAAGGCGGAAAAGGCGGCAAAGACAAGGAGCAGAAGCCCGACAAGCCTGATAAAGGCAAGGGCAAAGGCAAGAAGAAGAAGAAGGCTAGAGCCCGGGCTATGGGAGAACCAGAGTCCGAGGCAGAGTCCGAGTCTTCGAGGACCTCCACCGTGATGGCGATGAGGTTTGCCAAGCCTTCTGCTGTACGAGAAGTACTGAGCCAGCCTGAGCCTGAGAAGCCTAAGCCCGTAGAGGCAGTCCCTAGACCGGTCGCTGTAGGGCCGAAAGTCACTGTAGATGAGAAGGTAGGCACCCTGACTGGAAGCACCTCGAAGGGAGATGCGGCATACGTCTGCGCTTCGCTGCAGGTAGAGCATCGTGATGTGTGGCTGGTCGATAGTGGAGCCACATGCCACATCGTCTCAGCAGATCATCTGTCAGGATTTCGTGTCTGCAAGTACCATGATCGCACGGTGACGCTCTATAGTGCCTCAGGAGACATCATAAACGTATCGAATGTCGTTGATCTGGAAGTTCGTTTCGGCGACGTTTCGTTGACGTTGGAGGACGTCCTTGTGGCGGACGTGCCTTTCAATGTGGTATCTCCGTGGTCCGCGTCGGAACGGGGCTGGAAGACGCACCTTGCGCGCACCGGGTCTCGCATTTACAAGGGTGGAAAGAAGAATGTCCGCCTGGTTGGGGCGAAACGGGCCTGGTGGGCGATTAGCGGAAAGAAGCAGAAAGCTCCTAAACGCCCATCCAAGGGATCGGACATGGAGATCGACTCTCTTCCTGTTGACAAGGAACCCAGGAAAGACATTACTGCAGGACCAAGCATCCTGAAGAAGACTTCGAAAGAAGCGAAGAGTGATGAGAAGCCTGGAAAGGACGAGAAGTCTATCCGCCACGTCTTGACGGGAACGCCGTTTGAGTTCATGTTGCGCGGTTTGAGGGCTGAAGTTAGGAGTAGGTCCCTGGAAATTCCTGAAGAACACGCCGGTAGGAAACCGCACGACATGATCTGTACTAGGAAAACGCCTGTCCTGAGTGGTGATAGGAGCCTGTGTTCCGAAAGTCTGGTTAGGAAACTTCATGACTCTGTTAGGAAATGCCATGTTTTTGTCAGACAGCAACATGATTTTTGGCAGCGGCATGTGTGCGCAGTTTGGAACGTGATGTTTTTGCTGGCATGTCTTGTGAAGGGGTTGTGTTTGAAAGGCTTTTCGCTTCTGATCTTCGGCAGTGAAGGTTTGAGGTGTGCCCTTAAAGGAAGTGAGTGCCCCAAAGCAACCGAGCCAGGCATGTTTTGCGTTAGGAAGCCCAAAAGGACCTCAAAAGGCTTGAAGTGCGCATGTTTGTCCGCAGCCATTTTGCTTGTTTGCGTGTCTTGGTTTTCCCTGAGGGAAGGTACTGAGCATGTCGGAACCGCCAATGGAGGTGGAGCGAGATTCCCACAACTCTCCAGCGGAGAGTGCCGGGCAGGAGGTTGTGTTTTTGAATGCACCAGTAGAGCCTGCACCAGCAGAGGCGGCGCCAGTCGAGACTGCGGATGCAGAGGCTTCAGCTGCCCCCTTCAATGTTTTCTCGAGGCCTCCGAGTCAAGTTGCAGTACCTTCGCCTACGGTGGCTGCATCAGAGACAGGAGAGACAGAAGAGGAGGAAGCATGGGGAAAATGGAGGGCAAGCAAGGCCAGGCCTTCGCAGCCATCAGCCGAGCCGTCGCTGATAGTGAAGTGGAGAAGCATGCTGAGGGGACCGCGCTTCAGGTATTTCATGCAAGCGATACGACAACAGCGAGAAGATCTTATTGCATGTGGATACCCTGTGCCGGCAATTCCAGAGAACAACCTGGAACCTGCAGTTCCACTTATGTCTATCGGAGATGGGATCGTTTATCCTTCCCGCCAGGGGACCATCTTTGCGTCATTGACAGATGCTTTGATGACCGACGGCTACCTCCTCGAGGTTGGGCAGAAGCTCCTTGGGCGGATCCAACGTCCAGACCCAGATGTGGGGCCGTGCCTGGGAACGGGTTGGTCCAAGAGGCTTCGCGATCACGATCCCGATCCTCTGGATGGAACGCCCTACATCAGCGCGGAGGTTGCGTGGGCGCTGTGGCTGCCCGAGTTTCCGGAAGCCCCGGAGCAAGGAGGCATCCTTCCGGTGAAGAGAAAGAGGGATTTTTCCCAGCTCACCGACGAGTTGTTGGACGAGCATACTACAAGGTTCGAACTCGCGGGTCAAGGCCGCACTCTTCACCAACGCGGCGTGCGTGCAAGGGACGCGCGTGCAGCTATCGAAGGGTATACTCCCGATCCGAGTCACCTACGCCACCAGAGTGGAGGGGACGTTGCTGCGCTGGGTTACATCAAGCGTATCCTCAAGGTCCTGACCGTTTACGAGGCCATGCCGGAAGCAGAACGCAACCTTTTGGCTGGAATGTATCCAGACGACGTCGAGCTCCAGCTCGAGTGGGTGCCAGGCTCAGCCATCAGGCATGGGTGGCGTGCGTTAATGGGGGCAATGGATCAGCGCACCCGGCGCTATATCGAGTTCGAAGCAGAGGTCCGAAAATGGGAGGACTTGCAGTCCGCTCGACCCAAGGTCAAGGCCAGAAGAACGGGTGCAGCTGCTTCCACAGATACTGGAGGTGGAATTGGAGCGATGAACGAAGGCTCGGAGACTGGAGCCATGAACGAAGGCTCGGAGACAGAGTCTGCAGAGTCATCCTCGGCAAGTTCGTCGGACGAATCGATTCAATGGGGGAATACATGATGCAGAGCCGGACCAGAGTTTTGGCGCTCATCGAAGCGGAGAAAGCCTTGAAAGATGTGGGCTCCTCTGCGCCGCCCCCACCGTCTCCTATCATTATGGAGCCATCGCCGGTTGCGAAGGACGGGTACAAGTTCGATCCAGCATCTCTAGGAGCCCCTCTGGGGGACACTGCAGCTCCATCAACACCGGTACCTCCTTCGCCTTCCGCAGTTTCATTGGCCCCTTTGAAGTCATTCAAGTTCTTGGATGTCCCACCTGTTGCTTCTTCTGGTCCCTCGGACCACAGTGTGGAGCCTATGGTGGTGGAAAAGGAGCGGGCCCCAGAAACTCCAGGACCCACGGCACCGGTTGGAGCTCCAATTTCCGCAACGGAGAGTGTGCCGGAGACCCCTCCTCCAGGGGAAATTCCAGGTCCCGGTTATGTCCCGAAGGCAGCTCCTGGGGAAATTCCAGGTGCTCTGTCGAAAGCCCAGGGGGCACCAGCGGGGGCTACACCGAAGGCCTGGTCTGTGGTTCCAACTTCCTCGCCTTTGACGGTTCCAGAAGCGCCAGTGGCTGTAGAGTCTTTGCCTGCAGTTCCAGAGCCAGCAACCGTGACAGCGGAGGAAGGGCCTACCTCCGAGACCGCTACATCATCCGCAGCGGGTGCCCTTCCGCCTCCGGGCGGCTTGGGTCAAACAGCCGAAGAGAGGGAGTTTGTGCTTCCTTCCCCTTGCCAGAAGAAGTGAAGGCCTTAAAGGCTGTGCGGAATTCTTCCTTTTGTGGAATTGTTTCTGAACGCGCCGATCGCATGTCTTGCGCGTTGGAAAAACACAGTGTCTTTCAGGCTTGTTTGGACTTGGAAAGAAGCATGAGTGAAGCAGTTGAACAGACATGTTGCTGTGTGAGACTTGCTTGGTTAGGAGTGTGCGAGCTTGAAGGTCCCTTGAAGAGAAGCCCAAAAGAACTTCGATCTTCTCGGCAGTACCCTCAAAGATCCGAAATACCCTCAAGTGTGAACCTCAGAAACGCCACGAACCCAAACCTCCTGAACATGAGTCATGACAGACCCCTGCCGGCCAGGAGTGCTTTGTTTTGCATGCCAGGAGAAGCATTGGATGTTTTCGCTTGCTTGGCGATCTATGTGATAGCAAGTCTCTTGGGGGGTTCGTTCTGGTTAGGGTTTCGATTCTTGAAGATGTGTTTGAAAAGGTTTCGAGGAGTTGGTGACTACCCTCAACTTGTATCCCGAAAGTACCGTTTACACCATCGTCGTAAAGGAGTCCGAGTGCGAATCAAGACTCGTTTCTGTTATGTTCGAGTTGATGTAGAACGTACTCTGGTCTTTAGCAGGCACGTTGTGAAACCAACTTGGAGCTCAGGTTTTAAAGCCTCTTTGAAGTTCGCATGTAAGGCCATGTGCTTGGGCCTTTGTCTCGACAGGAACTTGTGGAGCTTGTTGGTGTGCATGGCATGGTGTTGTGCTTGGAGTGTGTGTGGTTGTTGTTTGTTGAGAAGAAAGGGCGATGATGAAAAAGGGAGCAGATCCACTTCTGAGCACAGCCACTTGAGAGTTGTGCGTGGACTGCCCCTCCCCGGTAAGGGGACGCAAGCTGAGCCCTTAGAACTCGACAGTGACACACCACGTTCTTCAGAGAGAGAAGAGAGAGGAGAAAAAGAGAGTCCGCTTCCGAAGCCTCAAGGTGCTGAACCACCTAAACCCCCGGAACCGCCTGGAGGTGCAGAAGTTTCAGATAGGATACCTCTGCGAAGTGTGGCTTTGCAAGTGCATAGATCCAGAGGTCATTTTCCTTATGATGTGAACTGTGAGGCCTGCACCTCGAGTAAAGGGAAGGTTCCTGCGAGACGCTTGCGAAGGCGTTTGCAACGCGAGGACCAGACGATAGGAATGGATTTCTACTACTTCGGTCGTCTTCGTGTGCTGCTTCTTGCACATTGCTCTTCGAACTATACCACGGTCATCCCGGCCATGAATTTGGATGATCCGGATCTGTTTTACAACATTGGACGAGTGATTCGCGAAATGGGTCTTGTGAATAAAATGGTCACAGTGAGATGTGATCAGGAGTCGGCTTTGATGTCTTTAGCCGAAAAATTGACTACCCGTACAGGTGATGTAGCTGTTTCTGGCGTCATTGTGGACGTCGTGCCCGGGTATCGCCCTCAGTCAAAAGGCGCTATTGAAAGACAAGTAGAAACTATGAAGCAGGGATTTTGGGCAGTGTGGTTAGACTTGGAGAGAGAAGTTGCGCGGAATTCCGCGCCGGAAGACTGGAACAAGAAGCTTCCGCTGGGAGGAATGCTCTGGCAAGCTTGTGTCCTTTACAGCGCCAGGTGCTACAACCTCTGGAGCTTTAGTCACCAGGATGTGACTACGCCCATTGACCGGCTGCACGAGGAGATTGTGCATCGTACGAGGACCCTGCCGTTTGGATGTCTTGTCTACGCTAAAGTAGGGGGCTCAAAAGCGCATCAACAGAAGTACAGGGGAAAGAAAACAGTGAAAGCTGTGTATCTAGGGCCTAAAGAGCCTAGAGGGGGCGGTGTCTTTGCTGCTCCAGTGGGTCAGACTGAGATCGATATCTTTCCTGTCTGTAGGGCCTTAGAAGGAGCGAAAGGTGAGCCTGTCTACGACGTAGGGGCCATACACGCTCTGTCTACTTCACAGCCTCTGGTTCTAGACCCAGCGGATCCTGAAAGGCCCATCATGTTTGAGCCACCACCTGATCCGGTGAAGTCAGAAGACCCTGACCCGGGGTTTGAAAACGAAGATGAAGAGATGGTACCAGATGATCCTGATCCTCTGAATGATATTCCGTCTTACGTGGAACCCACAGATGATGAGGGGGAAGGCGGACTTGGGTCACCGGAAATGCAGCCGGATGACCTAGAGGACATGGAAATTGACTGGCTAACTAACCATCTGTTAGAGTCTTTGTTCAAAGGACCGGACATTCTGGCCACGTCTAAAGAAGTAGCTGATTCGTTTACTCTCAAATTCGGAGGGAGTAAGATCAAGTGCCAAGTACCCCGAAACGCCGTTTCTGAGACCTCAGGTGAACAGTTAGACCCTGAACTTCTGTATGCTTCGATGAAGTTGGAGCTTGAGGAACTCGAGTCTTTTGGAGTAGGAAAAGTGATCTCTGAAGCTGAGGCCCGCAAGTCGGCGCGAGAGAGCGGTCGGAGGGTTCTCACGAGCAGGTGGGTTAACACGATCAAACGTAAAGGTCTTTACCGTTCCCGCCTCGTTGTTAGAGATTACGCTTCAATGGGAGGCACGACGCTTTCAGAAGGCATCTACAGCCCGACTACGAGTTTAGAGGGTTTAAGGCTTCTTTTGGCATTGCTTTGCAAGAAAGGCTCAGTGTTGAGCTGTGACGTGAGCGTGGCTTTCATGCACGCTGCAGTGTCAAGGCCAGAGTACGTAGAGCTCCCAAACAATGTGAGTATTGCGGACTCTTCTGTTCCCCAAAAGGCAGAAAACAAGAAGGTGTATCTTCGTCTTCATAAAGCGATGAACGGATTGAGATCGGCACCGCTTTCTTGGTATAAGGAACTGAGTTCGTACTTGGAGAAGAGCGGATTCAGTCCAAGCCTGGACCCTACGATATACCGAAGGAAGACGTCGAAGGGTCTGACGTTGGTACTGTTCTATGTAGACGATTTGCTGATCTACTCCGAGGACCCATCGGAAGGTAAGAGAGTTTTCGAAGGACTGCAGAAACGCTACAAGCTGAAACTGACTGGAGAGCTTCCTGAGAATGGTGCGGGGGAAGTTTCCTTCTTGGGTAGGAGAATATTCCGACGTTCCGGAGACAAGCGCGTCTATTTCGGGCTAGATAGCAAGTACCTAGACGCGTGCTGCTCTGAGTACAATATAACCAAACCGAGCCCCAAACTCCCGTCGCTTGAAAAGCGATACTCCGACCTGGTTCGAAAAGGGCAAACTGAAAAGATTAGCCCGGCCGCACACGAAAAGTATCGTAGAACCCTTGGTCGGCTTGCATGGGCAGCCCTCTCCCGACCGGACCTGCAATTCTGTTGCGGGTTTTTGGGCCGGCACCAGGCGGCGCCAGACGAGGCTGCTGAAACATGCATGAGAGACGTCCTTAAGTGGATAAAAGGGCTTCCGCACCGAGTACAGGTGTTTCCATCAACTCGGGAGATCCTGGAAGATGATGCGGATCCTCAGGCGGTTTCCTGTTTTACAGACGCAAGCTGGAGTTTGAATTCGGTTAGTGGTGGTGTGATTACTTGGGAAAACTGCTGTCTGAAGACTTTTAGCAGAAAGCAATCAACCACAGCCCTGTCCAGCGCTGAGAGTGAGCTCGCGGCGCTCACGGAGATAGCCAGGGAAGGTCTCTACATTGCCCTCTTGACAGAGACCATCTTGGAAGGCATTCCGCAGGACAGGGAGACCGGTTACTATCTCTCGAAGGGTTACTCTGACTCTGAAAGCGCGGTTTGTATCTCAAAAATGGGAACATTGCTGAGGAAAGTTCGCCATTTCGAGTTAAGAGCCGCATTTCTCCAGGAACTTGTGGATCGTGGAAGGTTCACGATTGAGCACATACCGGGGGCCATCAACCCCGCAGATGCTCTAACGAAAAGTCCCACGAATGACAGTTTGGCAAGCTTGTGTGAGGCTTGTGGCTTGACCACCGAGCCGGTTGGCTGGGAAGAAAAAGCTTCAGGCACTAGCGTTTCGGTTACCTTTAAAGAGCCCAATACCTGCGACGAAGTGCTCGCAATTCCGAGCTCGTGGAAGGACGAGGCCTACAGAGTTGCTTCTGGGGAGGCCACCATGGTTGTCTTGGAACTCTGTTGCGAAGAGGAAAGCGCGATAGCACAAGCTTGTAAGCGGGAACGTGACATCGCGTACTTTGGAATCACCAAGAAGCTAGACTTGCTGAGTAGAGAGGCTTCTTTGTTGCTAAAAGGGATTCTGGAAAAGATGGCTTCTAACGAAAGAATCTACGTGTATGCACACTTGTCTACGCCGTGCAGCGCAGGTAGTGGCCTTTGGCACCTGCGTTTCTCAAAGGACGTGAAGAACCGGGCGAGATGGAGAGCTAGTCTGGAGGTACACAAGAAGTCCTGGAGACGCATACGAGCAGTTTTCCAGGACTATGCTGGCCACGAGAGGCTCCTCCTCTCCCACGAATGGCCTAAAGGGTCTGGCCTTTGGGGAGAAACAGTCTACAAGTCAACAGCGAAAAGACTGGGACTCGAGCACGAGTGTTTGGTAGACCGGTGCTGTTTCGAGGAAGCTGGCAACCGTATCCTGAAGCATTGGTGGTTCGTCAGTTCGGATTCAAGTTTTATCTGGACTTTATCCTCTTGTGTTTGCCCAGGAAACCACGAGCATGCGAGTGCTACTAGCATAGCAGCGACAGGTGTCTATCCGCAGGGCTTAGGCCGATTCCTGGTGAAAGAAGCCAGGAAAAGTCTCGAAAGACGAAAGAAGGACTGACCGCGCAATAGGCATGAGGGGGTGTGAAAATATGACATTTCTTTGTTTGCCTAGTTGCTTGCAGGTACATGTGTAGGACATGAGTGCTGTGACATGGCAAGAACATGTTTTGTTTTGGCATGAGCATGTTTGCATGACATGAAGGTGCTTTGACTTGACATGTTTTGGTTTGCAAGTCCGAGGATGAGTTTTGGGAAGCACAGAGAGGCTTTTAGCTCTCGGGAGTTGACCTGAGAGTCATCTGGAAGTGCTGAA